TTATATTCTTAAATTGGTTCAATGAACATAAGAATGAGTTCATCATAATATTTGTTCTAAGATTAGAGAGGTAAAATGTCTGCTCATAAATTAAAAAAAATCGTCATCGAAATTGTTTTGAACAATTATAATGTCATCACCAAAGGAATTTGACTAAAACACCTTCCAAAACATCAATTTTCTACAATTGTGGACTTCGACATAACCGATAATAAATTGTTAGACTATCTTTTCGGGTGTAAATAACAAGAAAGTGTTATTTTAGCGATAATCACCATTTACGATTGTACATTTTTATTAATCATGTTTTTATCAGCAGTGTAGTAAACGCTTTACTAAAAATAAATACCACAATAATACAATATTTGTGTAAGGACAATTAAAACGGATTGATAACGTTTGTAGACTCTCTCGACGTATTCTAGAAGGTCGAAGAAAGAAGGAAGTACTATTATAATTTATAATTATGAATCAGTTTTGTGTACATAAGAGATGAGAGAACGAGTTTATTATATTAATAGATTATATGGTTTTGTTTACGGGTCAAAATTCACTTTATAAAACTATGTTAACAAAATTTGGGAAACCTGATACATTTTTTGAAAAAGGACTCATTATTTTTGAAATACGACATATAATTTCTTAAAACCTCACTTTAATTAATAAGAAAATTCACATTTTTTTTAAGGGGACGTATTAATTAATAAAAGAAGGCATATTAATTACAGAAAAAGAATATATCTTAAAGGAGACATATTAATTAATAAAATTGAACATTTCTTAAATGGAACAAATTATTTCTGAAGCGGGACACATTATTTGAAAAACCGGACTCCTTATTTTTGAAATAGGACACATTATTTCTTAAACAGGAGCGCTAATTAATAAAAAAGACAAATTAATTAATAGAAGAAGGCACATTAATTCTAGAAAAAGAATATACCTTAAAAGAGACATATTATTTCAGCAACAATATCAAATAAGACACATTATTTCTTAAATAGGCATATTAATTAATAAAAATGAACATTTCTTAAACAGGACACATTATTTTTGAAAAGAGATACATTATTTGAAAAACAGGACCAATTATTTATAAAATAAGACACACATTATTTCTTAAATAGGAACATTTAAAAAAAGGACAGGACACTTTAATTAATAAAAAAATTCACATTTTTTTTTAAGGGGACGTATTAATTAATAAAAGAAGGCATATTAATTACAGAAAAATTAAAGGAGACATATTAATTAATAAAATTGAACATTTCTTAAATGGAACAAATTATTTCTGAAACGGGACATATTATTTGAAAAACAGGACAACCTATTTTTGTAAGCATTATTTAAAAATGCATTATTTTTGAATTAGGACACATTATTTCTTAAACAGGAACATTATTTATTAAAAAAAGGCTCAAATTAATAAAGAACATATTAATAAAAAATAAACATATCTTAAAGAGGATATATTATTTCAGAAACAGGATACATTATTTCTAAAACGGGACACATTATTTCTTAAACACGAACATTAATTAATAAAAAAGACAAATTAATTAATAAAAGAAGGCATATTAATTACAGAAAAAGAAAATATCTTAAAGGAGACATAATAATTAGTAAAATTTTGTAAACATTATTATAAATATTATTTATTAAAAAAGACTCAATAATTATTAAAGAAATTATTTAAAAAACAGAACTCTTTATTTTTGAAATAGGACATATCATTTCATGAACAGGAATATGAATTAATAAAAAAAGGCTCATTAATTAATAAAGGAGACATTCATTAATGAAAAATAAACATTTCTTAAAAGGGACCTATTATGTTTGAAACGGGACACATTATTTGAAAAATCGGACTCATTATTTTTTAAATAGTACACATTATTTCTTAAACAAGAACATTAATTAATAAAAAAGACAAATTAATTAATAAAAGAAGGCGCATTAATTATAGAAAAAGAATATATCTAAAAACAAACATATTATTTCAGCAACAATACCAAAAGAGACACATTATGAAGAACTCATTCATTAATAAAAAAAATAAATATTTCTTAAAGGGGACCTATTATTTCTGAAACAGAACTCAAATAAGACACATTATTCTTAAACAAATTAATTAAAAAAAAAAAAAAATGTAAATTTATCAAAGGGGACACATTATTTCTGAAACAGGACACATTATTTATTAAAAGGGACACATTATTTCTTACACAGGAACATTAATTAATAAAAAAGACAAATTAATTAATAAAAGAAGGCAAATTAATTATAGAAAAAGAATATATCGCACCCTTGCTTCAAAAGTGACACAACTCAAAATTATCAAATTTAACATCTTTTAAGTTAAAACCTTAAAAGTGGTTAGTGAACAACCCTTGTTTTAACTTGACTTAGAATATTACTCGTCCAGATGGTGCGTGTGTTATTTTTAAGGTTTTGATCTAGGGTTGTTTTTAATGATATTATTTATGGTATTAACTCAAAAGTTGTGAATTTTGACTTGTGTCAATTTTGAAACAAGAGTGCGATATATTAAAGGAGAAATATTATTTCAGAAACAATACCAAATAAGCCACATTATTTCTTAAATAGGCATATTAATTAATAAAAATGATTATTTCTTAAAGGGAACCTATCATTTCTGAAACAGGACACATTATTTTTGAAAAGAGATACCTTATTTAAAAAACAGGATTAATTATTTATAAAATAGGACTCATTATTTCTTAAATAGGAACATTAATAAAAAAATGACAGGATATATTATTTCTAGAACGCGACGTACTATTTGAAAAACAGGACGCACTATTTTTGTAAACATTATTAAAAGACGTATTATTTTTGAATTAGGACACATTATTTCTTAAACAGGAACATTATTTATTAAGAAAAATGCTCAATAATTAATAAAGAACATATTAATTAATAAAAAAATATACATATCTTAGAGGGAACATATTATTTCCGAAACAAGACACATTATTTCTGAAACGGGACACATTATTTGAAAAAAAGAACGCCTTATTTTTGAAATAGAATATATCATTTCACGAATAGGAATATGAATTATTAAAAAAAGGCTCATTAATTAATAAAGAAGACATTCATTAATAAAAAATAAACATTTCTTAAAGGGGACCTATTATTTCTGAAAAGGGACACATTATTTGAAAAATCGGACTCGTTATTTTTGAAATAGGACACATTATTTCTTAAACAGGAACATTAATTAATAAAAAAGACAAATTAATTAATAAAAGAAGGCAGATTAATAATTATAGAAAAATATTATTTTTAAAAACAGTTATATTATTTCAGCAACAATACCAAATGACACATTATTTCTTAAATAGGCATATTAATTAATAAAAATGAACATTTCATAAAGGGAACTTATCATTTCTGAAACAGGACACATTTATTTTGAAAAAGGATACATTATTTGAAAAATAAGCCTTATTTTTGAAATAGAACATATCATTTCATGAACAGACATATTATTTCAGCAACAATACCAAATAAGACACATTATTTCTTAAATAGGCATATTAATTAATAAAAATGAACATTTCTTAAAGGGAACATATCATTTCTAAAACAGGACACATTATTTTTAAAAAGGGATGCATTATTTTAAAAACAGGACCAATTATTTATAAAATAGGACACATTATTCCTTAAATAGGAACATTAATAGAATAAAAAAGACATATTATTTCGGAAACGGGACGTATTATTTGAAAAACAGAAAGCCTTATTTTTGAAATCGGACATATCATTTCATTTCATTAACAGGAATATGAATTAATAAAAAACGGCTCATTAATTAATAAAGAAGACATTCATTAATAAACATTTTTAAAGGGGACTTATTATTTCTGCTACAGGACTCAAATAAGATACATTATTCTTAAACAAATTAATTTAAAAAAAAAGTACATTTATTAAAGGGGATACATTATTTCTAAAACAAGACACATTATTTGAAAAACTATTTTTGTAATAGTAAATTATTTAAAAAAGACGCATATTTTTTGAATTAGGACACATTATTTCTCAAGCAGGAACATTAATTATTAAAAAAAAGACTTAAAGGGGACACCTTTTTGAAACAGGACATATTATTTCTGAAACGAGACGTATTATTTGAAAAAAAGGACGCACTATTTTTAAGATATGACATATTATTTAAAAAACAAGACGCATTATTTTTGAATTAGGAAACATTATTTCTGAAAAATACATAAGACATTTCTTAAAAATTACATATCAAATATGAAACAAGACACATTATATTAGAAACGGTACCGTTTATTTTAAAATCAAGACACAACATTTTTAAAACAGGATACACAATTTTAGGGACCTGATTTTGAAGTATTTTTGTGTAATTCTAGGACAAATTTTTGCGTTTTTTTTCAAATTCGTAGTTGTCTTGTTTACGAAGTAAAATTAGCGTTAGAAAACTTTATGATTTCAAAATTTCAGAAAAGAAACACATTATTTGAAAAACAGGACTCATTATATTTGAAATATGACATATTATTTCTGAAAAATGCATATTAATTAAGAAACAAGACACATTATTTTAGAAATGGGACACATTATTTTTAAAATAAGACACAATATTTTAAAAACAGGATACACTATTTTATAAAGCCTGATTTTTGACGTATTTTTAAGGGGAATAATTAACTACATTCATAAAATTTAAGAAACAGGACACATTATTTAAAAAAGCAGGACTCATTATTTTTTAAATATGACACTATTTCTGAAAAATGCATTTTAATTAAGAAACAAGATGCGACACCAGGACGTCTAAATCAAATTAGACTTCTCAAAAACAACATATTCATGGAATAAAACACATTATTTTAGAAACAGGCCACACTATTTTAAAACCAGGACACATAATTTTAGAAACCCTGATTTTTAAGTATTTTTGCGTAATTCTAGTAAAAAATGTTGAGGTTTCAACTTACCAAATTTAAATTCGTAGCAGTCCTCGATCTCCTTGTGGAAAATATCGTAATTACTTGGTAAATACGACCTAAGGAGGTAGACGCAATCGAGGAAATTTTCTTTTCGCGCATAGTGGATGGGTGTCATCCAATTGGAGTCTCTTAATTGCGAATCGCCGCCGCAGCACATCAAGATATGGAGGATCTCCGTTCGGCCCCATGCCGCCGCTATGTGAACTGGAGTCAAACCATCTTCTGATCTGGAGGTTTATAAAAAAAGTGATCGTTAAAAAAATGTATAAAAATATTAAATATTATTCGGGGAAGATACGCAGTAGACCTTACGAAGCCGAATACTACGGTGTATAGTTTTAGGATACCTTAAAGAAAAAAAAACAGTTCATACTTTTTAAAACCATATAAAATTAAAGATCCTTTCATTTTTATTACAATTTTATTTAATTTTTGTAGTATCTGTGGGGTAAAAAAATCAGAAAGCAAGCCTAAGATAGTATGTTCTTTATAAAATGCAATTTGCATAATTAACACTCTGTATATCAAAAAATAGTCAATTTTACGGATACATTATACGTATATTTATTTTCAAATATTGATAATTTCATAATTTCTGTGAATATTTATTAATATTGTTTATATTTATGTGGGACTCCCATTTCAAAGTACAATTTAGACGAAAATAACTATATAACTAATTAAAAAAATTAATGTTTGTAAATAATGTAAAAAAACAACAAACATTCAATTCATTACGGAGTTTTTACGTCAAAAGGAAAAATTTCGATTTTTCTTTTTTTACTTGTTTTGAATGACCGCGAATGACTTTTTCGAGAAACTTTAAAGCACACATTATGGTGAACATCTATTTTCGTATTTATTCACCTCAAGAAGGTTCGTGACACTGTTTCGATAATTATCGCACGATTAGAGACAATTTTAATTACAATAATAATACTTAATGATGTATTTACATTTTAGTGGCGAAAAAAGTATTATGTAGCGTAATCTTATCGACTTCCATTCATTTTCAATGCATAAAATAACCAGATATATCCGGTTATCGGAACAAAGGGGACATTTAACTATAGAGAGGAGTATCTCATAAAAGATCCGCGTCAAAATCACAATTAACCATCATAATATCCAAAGATAACGAGGATATGTAATATCGTGCGGTTCTGAATAAGACGTATTCTAAGGGACACAGGCAGGTATAATATCCTCTGTTATCATATATGCTTATTTCATTATTCTCGTTTTGTTTACAAAATTATTTACATATATTAAAAAAGCTAAAATAATTCAACCTATTTTATTGCAACTGAACCCAAAAAATTTTGAATCATTAGTTATATTAAATTTAACTAAATTTGTGTAATTTCACTAAATTAGATGTAATAATTTTCAATAAATTCCAAAACCTACTCATGTTAGGTTGGAAGTGGAAACAAGGCTTACACCGGCATGGATATTTACGTTGTTTGTTATAAGCGCACAGCGGTTTACACATTTATTCATTGATAAAAATAAGTTGTATCTGCGTAAAATTCTTCTCTTTATCCAAATGTTCATCTGTAAGTCGATTGCGATATTTGTTCTTAATAAACTTCATATTGGAAAAAGAAGATTCACACAAATAGGTTGAACTGAATAATGCTTTCACTTTCAAGGCAACACGACATAGAACTGAATATTTGTCTTTACTTACAATAGGCCAGATACATTTGGTACTTGAGACTAACGATTTTAAGGCTAAATCATTTTGAAACTCAATTACTTCCATTTCTGTTGCAGCGATGTCTTCGCCAAAGTTCTGCATAACACAAGTTGCAAACTGTTGGATATCAATTTCCATAAAGGGTGAAACAACAAACTGCGCTACTAAAGCCATTTCGTTGAAATCCTTAAAACGATTTTTGAAGTTATTCTTCAGGGTAGAAACTATTTCTACATGATATTTGCTGTCATAGGGTTCTAATGGATTTTGAGATATTTTTTCTGAAAGAATAGGAAAATGCTTGGCATCGCTGTTAATTAGGTTTTGTTCCCAAAACTCCAGCTTTTTGATAAATACTTTTATATCAGAAATCATTTCCGCTAGTTCTTTGTCTCTCCCCTGAAGCTGCAAATTAAGTTCGTTTAATTTCTCTGTAATGTCCACGAGAAAACCAAAATCTCCAAGCCAGATTGAATTTTCTAATTCCGGAGTCGGTTCATCGCGTTGTTTGAAAAATTTCCACATAATGCTTGCTGATGGATAATGCAGTGGTAACAGAGAAATTGCGGAAAAGTTTCATCTTTGCGACATAACGCCACCAGACCCTTATCACAACCCACCATAACTGGAGCGCCATCGGTTGTCAAGCCTACCATTTTCGATATTGGAATTTTCTCGGAAGAAATAATATTTTTTAAATGAGAAAACAACTTCTGTCCAGTATCGTGTCCTTTCAGTGGAATAAATTTCAAAAGATCTTCTTTAATCGTAAAATCACTAAAAACCATCCTGACGAACACGCCCATCTGGGCAGTGTCAACGACATCTGTTGATTCATCCAGTTGAAGTGAAAAATAAACACAGTTATCTAAGTCAGTTCTTAACTGTAAAAAAATATCATTGCTCATTACTTCTACACGTCTCATCACCGTATTAGCAGAAAGTTGCATAGATTTTATAGCTGAAACTATCTCGTCTTTATTTCTAAAGTTGGCAAATAACGAATCAGCAGCTTCTTAAAATGCCTGTTTTATCATTTCCCCGTCTTCATAAGGTTTCTTTTTTTGTGCAATTATCTGGGACACACGGTACGATGCTTCAGTTGCAGCCTTATTTTTGTCGACTGTTCTTAAAAATATTGATTGTTGTCCAATTAACTGCTTTTTTAACTGTTTCAGTTTCTCCTTTCTGGCGGCAGAATGTAGTGGGAATGACTTTTCAAAATTAAAATGTACAGTTTTATGATGTCTCTCAATATTTCCTTTTTTAGCAACGGAGACCGAAGTATTACATAACAAACACACATTTTTATCTTTAACTTCTGTAAAAAAAGTATTGTTCTTCCCATTCCGAATGAAAGTGGTATGTCTTTACCTTCTTACAACTGCTTGCCATAATATTATTTTTTGTTGTTTTCTACTAACCCAACCGCTGGACGTTGGTTACGCGTTCAGTTTTAAACTAAGCGCAATGTCGTCGCGCCGTGCGTATTTATCCCGTTCAAAGCAATCCTGATCGTTCTCGAACACTAACGCGCTGGTCCGGCTGGTCGGTTCTAGCCGATTCTAGCTTGATGGCGTCAGCGGCACATCGCTCAACGCCACGTTGCCGCTGTTTATGTTTAATATTATGACAATTAGATTTTTTTGAGGAATTTTCGGAAGCTTCTCTGATTTTTGCAGTTTGTATTTTTTAAACTAAAATCGTTGTGAGAGCTACCAGAATTGCCTCCGCGAGCTACCGGTAGCTCGCGATCGACAGGTTGGCGACCACTGCTTTACACACTTGAAAATACCTTCTTTCGTTTCATTTCTTATTTTATTTTAAATTGGTTTTGATTTGTTTTTTTCTATTTTGATTTTAGTTTGTTTTTTCTTTTTATTAAAAAAATAGTGAGCATCTGTGGACGCCAACTGATTATAAATAGGGTAAGCTAAAAGTTTTTAAAGACCACTTTTCTGTAAAATAAATATTTTATTATTCAAAACGTTCGTCTCATCCGTCCTACCTATCCGATTTATCCATTAAAATGTAAAAATATTTTAGCTATGCAACATTTGGATGTTTTTATCATATTATGACGTATGATTTTGATGTTTTAACTTGGTTATATGAAGAAAGATTTGCTGATTTGGATAGTAATCAACGTCTAAGAAGTATAATGAATTATTGATTTCTAGAAGACCACAAAGATTTGTTGAGTTGTATAGTAATTAACGACCTGAGGACATAAGAAATACCATAGACTGTTTGGAGAGCTTTCACCGTAGATGAGACCTGTTTTACTCCTTGATGAAGCCCATTCCGCATCGAGATATGTCAAATTTACCATGTACTATTAAATACTAGTCAAAAATAAATAAATTTAGAAGTCATTTTATTATTAGAAACTCTTGTAGATGAGAATTTGGTTTTACAGTATCTTTTGAAGGCATATCCTTTATTTTAATAGTAATTGTTTCCGTATTTTGATTAATTACTTTTATACTTAAATATATGTGAATTTAACTACGGTGTTGCCCAACATCTAATTTCAGGGTAATTGAGTTATATTATATATGAATATCCAATCCCCGACTCTTATCAATGAACTTTAACCACTTAAATTGTAAAACCAACAACAGTGGTTATAAATATTGGCGCCCAACGTGGGGCTATTTTTTTTTTTTCATATTTCCAAAAGAATTTCTGTTTTTCTCACTTCATTTTCTTTCAACTTACAAGATCATTCGTGGCGTTCACTCCCCAGTCCCGTTCTTTTAAACTAGATAAACGTCGATGATGACAAACTTCGATAAAAGTCGACACAGATAGAAATTATTACAAATTGATTGTTGTGTTATTATTATTATAAATAGCGTAAAATGCACAATCGCCACCATTAAATTTTGTATCAATAAAGCGTTATCGCTTTTAGTCTGTTGTACTATAAACTATAATTAAATTTTATTTCAGTTCCTAGAAATCCGACGATAAGAGGCGCTTTTTTCGGGAGGGAGAAATTTACTATTAATAAAACAATTATTGATAAGGATTATTTATGGTTTCATGCATGGTTTTTAAAACAATTAAAATTCTATCACTCTTTTTTTTTTAATTTCTTAACATAACTTTTTGTATCACTTGAAGCAAAAGATTTTAAAACTATATAAAATAATTGAAGTCAACGTTTATATGAGCTCTCAAATAACTAATATGTTGAGACGATTATGATTTTTTCATAAATCAAGTAGTTTTTAAAATACTTTGAAATAATTATACTAAACAAATCAAGGTACATACGATAAGAGTTATTGCTCTCTTGACAATAGACCTCTCAGGCGTCGCTTGTATATTATTGGGGCTAAAACGGGAAAACTTGTATTTGGTTTCAACAAACAAGAAAATAGATACTCCAGATGATGGGTGCTTTAGAAATTGGAGTGGTTCTTCCACTTTGTTATTGAAGAGTTCAAGAAGAGTGTAGCGATGCACAGAGCTGTGCGGTATTCAAGTACAAGTACTCGATAGCTGTACTCTAAGTAC